TTGGGAGCATCAGATCAGCGGATAAAGTACGAGATGGTTGATGGAAGAAACCTTACAACGTTGCGTTTTTAGACTCAAGTGATGCGTGGAGAACAGGCTTCGCAAGGCAGCCCTGAGCCGACTTCGGTCGAGACTGCCGCCCTCCACACCACGACAGGCACGGATTGTTCGTTGAGTAGCACATACAGCACCAACGAGGGGCCGAACGCGCTGCTCCTCGCAAGCTCGTTTTTTCACACGGTGCTTCACCAACAGATCATACGTGATCGTATACCAGACCGATCTTGGATCCGTTCCAATGTTCGACAACGGAGGTGTGGCCATCTTGAGGTCTCCGCCATCTCCAGTCGCCGTGATTCCGCGTTCCCTTGATTGGGATCCCAAATTGTCCCCGGGGTTTTGCAGCCTGAACGGCTCTCCACCGTCCTTGAGATACATTTCTGGCGGTCTCAGAAACCAATGGACATCTCGGAGACCTCCGGCCACACCGGAATTTTCGCAAGCGTACGATTGTCTCGGCTTCTTGGATGGCATCTGTAGTTCCCAATGTCCCGAAGACCTCCACCGTTCCCATGACCTCGATTGCCCTGCCAGGATTTTGGTCGCTTCGACGGGCCGTTATCTGTCTCAGGGGGACTGTGATCACCGCAGAGGCCTGCCATTGTCTCGGGATTGTCAGTCATGGGCCTATGATAGATCGTCGTGAATGCTGAATGGTGGGAACATCTTGTTTGGTACAAGGCAAGCGCAAATCCTAAAAACGACGTGAGAAGTAAGATTGACATAAGATACATCGCATATGCAGCGAAAGAATCGCAGCAGAATCCCTGACGTGCGGGCGGTGGCAGATAACAAGCAGCCTCGTCGTTTCACCCACTGCGAGGAGCCACATGGCGAATCGCCGCTAGACCAGCGGGAACCAGCGGGACGATGCACAAATGCATGCACTGAACTTTCGAACACATGAATTGCCAAATCAGCTTGATCCATGGTCCTCGTGATCCAAGTGAGCCAACACAAGTCACGTTAACCGTCGTAAGTCCATGGTGCTATATTTTCTTTCGCGCACCTCCAGCAAGGTGTTTTTTTATTCTTTTAAAAGGCAGGCTCCTGAAAATGTTTCGTGGCTTCAACGAATACACCTTAACTTGATTGCTTTGGCGTTTAACTAGATATACTTACCGCGTACTGTGCTTATCGCTGGCGATTCCTCACGCGTGGCTGACGGCCGCGCTTGTCTGGTGTCCTCCGCGGTGGCACGTGATGCCACGGCTGCTGGGCCTGCTACACCTTGTCAACCACCGTGGTCAGTCCACACTCGCACTCCCCGCACTCCCGGCACTCGGCTCCACTCCTGAGTGCCGCCGGCCGGTGCCCTGTGCGCCGCTCGTGTCGCCGGCGGCGGGCGCGGCACACTGCGGGCCGCGCGGCGGCGGTTCCGGCGCGCGGTACGCTGTATGGCGTCCGTTCCGCTCGTTACCTGCGGCGGCCCTGCTGACACCTGTCACCCCACCCCAGCCGGGCCCAGCCGCGGCGCGCTCCCCGTGCGTTCCGGCGCCGACCGCCGGAAGTGGGGGCCCGCAGCTGCCGGCCCCGACACAGGAAACGGGAGACTTTTGCTTTGAAACACTGGCTCCAGATGGGTTCATGGCGCAAGCCTTTGGTCTCACCTTGATAGCGCCAGCAGACCACGGGCCTGAACACTGCTGGAGACTACAACACATACAGTTATCAACGCCCAACGTACGGGACTGGTAATCTGCACCGATTTTAGCGACGAACGCAGCGCTGCGGCATTTCAAAACTGAGGAACGTGCCACACACGCCACAAGCCCCATTTGAGCTGACACTCGCCGATGAAGGAGTCTGGGGTCCGATGCTCCCACCTTCAAGGTGCTGCATGCCGTGGACCGGGCATGCATCCCTCTGGAAGTGTGCTCGATGCAGGTGAATGTTGCGCCGGTCGGCGCATGCGAACGCGCCGTTATTCACGTCACGCGTGCGTATGACAGCATCGGAGTGTGTCTCCCCGTTACAACAGAACCCACACGGCCCGCAAGGCATCCCGCCCCAAGCGCGGTTACACATGTCGCACGACACATAGCATGTCAAGTGTGGCGCATGCGGCCTGTCACATGGCATCTCAAGTGTGGCACATGCCACTCGTCCCATGGCATGTGTCGCACATGTGATGCGTCACGTGCCAACCACACAAATGTTACAAGGCATGGTATGCCTCTCATATCACACGGCACACCATACACACTACGTGTCACACACATGTCAAATGCCGCATGGCATACGACATATGACGCAAACCAGACACTGCTGCTGCGCGGTGTGTGAAGAACATCACTCGTGATGAGATGGGAGCAGCGACCGGCTGGGCCACGCCTCACGCAGTTTTTGTTAAGTGTCACATCACCCATCGCTAATGCGGGGCAAATGCTGACTTCAGAAGCGACTTGGCCTTCTGGCCTTTGAGACGTTCCTCCATGCATGTCACACGTCGCCTATCACACGCCGCCCACCAGGCGACACACATCTCGCGGTATATGTGAAACGTGACATGTCACACTAACAGATCACACAGCCGTCGGCACATCCCATCACATGGCTGTCACACATCACGTGTCACATGTCACCCATCACGCGTCGATTGTTCAGGGGCGTATACCGGAGTCGGCCATGGGGAGGGGAGCAGCTCGCAGACTTACATTGAACCCCAGATCAGCACGCCGCTGGCACACGAAGTTTCTTGCATGGCTTGCGGCAACGTCACATGTTCTTGATCTAGGTAGGTTTAAGAGCGTGCCGTGGATTTTTCATGCGTCAAGATTTATTAACGCGCTGCAATTAAATTGATGTCAGACGACACATTCAAGTATGCGCCTCGAATTTTACATCGTCAAAATTTGTTCAGGCATATTTAATGCATGCGATAAAATTGACAAAGCAGGGGGCAGACACGTGCCCCGGGAAAACGCCCCTGCGCGTAGCCGAGCAGATTGCGTATACTTCACTTCATATGTCGCATGTCACATATCACATCTAACGCATCATACGTCACCACATTTTCTCCACGCTACACGTGCCATGTGTGTCTGGTGTGCCATGTGTCATATTTCATGCGATGTGCCGCATGGCACACGACACATTGCCGGTGTCACACGTCAAGCGTCACACATGTAGGCGTAGGTGCGTGTGCGCGATGGCACCCGCACTCCCGAGAATGCATAGCATCAGCCCCATGGTGACGCATGGGAAGATCGTAATCCAAAAGTGGCATTAGCACCCCGATTTTCTGAGACACTCCTTCGCCTGTAGTCACTTACACATTAAGTGGCTCGCGTCTCACACCACACATCACACGTATCACACGTTGCACTTCACTCTCCAGACGCCAAGATCACACGTCTCGCTCGCATGCGTCATCCATTATGTCACATGTGACGTCATCACGCCAGTGTGATGTGTTCCGGCCGGCGCTGTTGCCGCTGCATGCGGTTATTCCCCCCCCCCCCCCTCCCCCCACCCTCAGCTGTTGGGCGTCGAGCCAGTCTGCCGCGGCACGCTCGGCCAGCGCTGCCGCTTCGAGGCCTCAGCCAGCGCCGCCGCTGCGGGGCCTCGGCGCGTCGCCGCTGCGGGGCCTCGGCCATCGCCACCGCTGCGGGGCCTCGGAGCGCTGCCGCTGCGGAGCCTCGGCGCGCCGCCGCTGCGGGGCCTCGGTCATCGCTGCCGCTGCGGGCCCTCGGCCATCGCCGTCGCTGAGGGACCTCGGAGCGCTGCCGCTGCGGAGCCTCGGTCATCGCTGCCGCTGTGGGGCCTCGGCGCGCCGCCGCTGCGGGCCTCGGTCATCGCTGCCGCTGCGGGGCCTCGGCCATCGCCGCCGCCGCGGGGCCTCGGCGGGCTGCCGCCGGTGCACAACAGGCCGCGCCGTCAGCAGAGCTCGTTAAAACGGATCTGCAGACACTCCGCTCCCGAGTAACTGGCCGAGTCCAGCCTGTTAGCCGCGCTCGCTGGTTTTTACGAATTCAGCGGATAAAGAATAAAAAATGGTATAGCTCTCGTGTTCGCTCATCAAAGAGGGAATAAAGCGTAACGCATGCCCCCCGCGACAGCGCCGGCTGTTTGGCAGCGTGCTGTATTGTAGCGCAGAAGCTCCCTAACGACAGGGAGAAGATGGCGGAGATAAAGCCAATGGAGGGGCTGGGGAAATCCTTAGGCGGGGGATGGCGAGAAGAGAGACGGAGAAAACGATCTTTGATATTTGATCTGAAGTGATGTGATGAAGTAAAGAAGATGAAGAAGATGAAGAGAGAAGGAGGAAGATCGCAGAGATGCGTGCCGATAGCGACTTGGCCACATAAATAATGCTCCGAAATATTTGCCTAGATTTAACCACACACTCTCATCTTGCAATGGTTTGGTAGCGTTCTGACCCCTACATCAGCCCTATAGAGCTGTTTGCTCTGACGTCACAGGCTGGGCACGGATCCAACAGCTGATTGCGACCATTCTAAAGGCTATAGGCAAGTTTTCACGATTCAAATCGTGAGAAAATAGCGTGTATTTTATCGATGAAATTTGAATAATGAACAATTTCCCTCAACTTTTGGAGCTTAAACACGCACGGGACCGCTGCACCAGTTCGGCGCTGGATGCTTTGTCCCTGGTTGGCTTCATGTGCTCATGAGCACAATCACCACTTCCCGCTCCCTGTATTTCGGTCAGTATATAGGGTGAGCAAAGTGTTTGCAAGGAGCAGCTCAATATAGCGTCAAGTGACCGAGTACAATTGGCCTTCGTTGTGTGCCGCTCGTCTGGCCATGACCACGTAACACTCCAGTGAAATGTACGTGTAGTGAAATGCATGCTGCATTCCTCCTCTCACCCGCCACTCAGAAAGCAACGCTGCTCGTAGATACACAACTAACATACATCACTGTATTTCTGGTGGCATGATTGCCGTGGCTGCCACACAGCAACACCTCACCCGTTGTACGCAGAATGCACTCTCCCCCCCCCCCCCTGCGTTCACATGGTCATGGCAACACAAGCAACACTCAGGGCCATGTTTCAGACCAGTTACAGGCAACCCGACTCCTCCTATCCGTCGGTTCGGCGATGGTCGCCTCTGCAGGCCGGTCGGTCTGCTCACACCGGCATCCAGATCCAGGGCACGCTCGTCGCCAACACAGGACAGCCACGCAGTCTCCGTACGCACTCAGTGGCCACGGAGTCGGAATCAAACAATGTGACCGGCGACAGCGTTGATGATGATGGATGACGTTTTCGACGGATGACGCGCACTGCGTGACCCTGATCTGGCGGAAACTGATCAGCAGATCAGCTGCGGCGCCGACTCTCAGCGCCCGCGCGGTCTTCAAAGTGGCTCGATCCGGGTCACGCAAGACACCGCCACCTACATGAATTCATCGTAGACGGTGCTGCCATCTGACAGACGCCGCTGCAAACGTTCGCTTCGCGCCGGCAGGCCGCGGCGCTCAGGCCGGTCGTGATGACGCCTCGCCGTCCTGGACCGTCTCGGCCAGCGCCGGCTGCCGCTTCACTTCTGTCAAGCCACCGTACTCGACGCTGCGCGATGGGTCCGTCGGGTAGAACTCCTGGCACTTGGTCATCAGTCGCTTCAGACCCTGGATGAACTTGCGCTGCGTCTCGTCGTTCATCACGTGCGCCACGTGCTTGGAGAAGATCTTCTCTCGGCCGGTACGCGCGTGGATGCCCACCATGGTGACTCCGATAGGCCAGGCTGCGTTTCCGATGGCCATCTGCAGGTACGTGTCGTTGGCCTGTCGACGAAAGGCGTGGACTTAAAACGGGCCTACAAATGAGCTCTGTTTACTTTCCGTACGCACGGCCAGTATGTACTGGAGACACGGCTGACGCTCACGCTCACGCTCGGCACACGCGGCTGACACTCACGCTCAAGCTCAACACACACGGCTGACGCTCACGCTCACGCTCGGCACACACGGCTGATGCTCACGCTCGGCACACACGGCTGACGCTCACGCTCACGCTCGGACGGCTGACGCTGACGCTCACGCTCGGCACACACGGCTGACGCTCACACTCACGCTCGGACGGCTGACGCTCACGCTCACGCTCGGCACACACGGCTGACGCTCACGCTCACGCTCGGATGGCTGACGCTCACGCTCACGCTCGGCACACACGGCTGACACTCACGCTCACGCTCGGCACACACGGCTGACGCTCGGCACATGGGCATCTCTGATAAAACCTGGACCGCACACAAATGAGCTCTGCCCACTTCTCGTACACACGGTCAATGATGTGCCGAGCATCAGCCGGGCTGGCACAACACACCTGCCGTCGCAATGGATCAGTACCATACAACAGCTGGCACACGACCCGTGCGTCCAAGACAAGAAGACTGGTGGACACAGCAGTCAACACGCTCTGGAAGGCCTGATCTCTTACGCTACTGCATGGTTCCATTTCAATCAGCGAAACACGAGGTAAGCTACGCCTGCAGAACAAAATAACATGATATGCGTATTTACAGTGCTGCTTTGTACGCCAATTTCGGCACAACCACTGCAGACTCTTCAGGTGCTACTTACCCACAGTTACATACGCACACAAGCAAACCAGAGCACGAATGAAGCAAACGCAGAGCCTACAGCCCGCCACACTCTCGTCTTCTCCGACGCCACCAGCCGCGTCCACTCCATCTGGGGCCGGCCCCGCAGTCACCTTGATGTAGTTCCTGTCGAGCATGTACTGGGCGATCTCGACCAGGGACTCCCGGATGTCCTCGGGCAGCGAGCCGGAGCGCAGCTGTCGGAACAGCGGCTTCAGGTACTGCTGCGTCTGCTTGTACGTGGCCAGCGCCATCTTGCTCTTGATGGAGTCGCGCTCTGCCCGCGGCTGGTTGTGGATCCGGTCGCCCCACTCCAGCAGTAAACACTGCCGACAGACGACGGCCGCGTGACCGACTGTCCTCCACACGGACACAGAGCCGGCATCATGCCCCAGTCCCTACGCAGGCGGAACCAGAGATGTGCTGCCAGTGAGCCGACGGCGGCGAAGTGGCCAGCGGCGCGGCGGCTTACCTTGTACAGCCGCAGCAGCAGCTGGGTGTCGAAGGCGGCGTCGCCGCTGCCCAGCCGGTCGGCCTCGGCCTGGATGTCGGCCATGGCGACGCGCTGCTCGTCGGCGGCGGCGGCGGCTCGCTCGTCGGCCGCCTCCGGGTCCGCCTGGCCCTGCTGCAGGTACTCGGCCAGGTACGCCGCGTCCACCTGCTCCATGGCCGCCTGGAAGTCGTTCCGCATGCCCTGGCGCACAGGCAGGTGCACCGTCAGGCAGCATCATCGCACGCGGAGTACTTCAAACGGGTGTATGTTTGTATGTTGGGCATTAAAGGCATTATCCCCCATATTGGCTAACCTCTTCCGTATTGTGAATACCAAGTAGTTTTCAAGCAGCCTGCACTCCGAGGCGCATCTGGCACGGAAGACGCCTTGTGGCAGGGCCACGCCTGCGTGTAGCAGTGGAACAGTTCATGAATATTCCCTGCCCGCGGGCCCCCTGAGTCGGCCGTGTGCTGTCTGCCGCCCTCGGAACAACACGTCGGCACTCCCGGTCCTGACGACTGGGCGTGTCACTGGCCGGGGTCGCCGCCGCCGGGCCTGTACTCACCCGGTTGACCTCGGGCTCGATGATCTCGAGCCGCCGCAGCCGGCGGAACGCCTCCGCCTCGGTCTCGCCGAACAGCAGGATGGGTTCGAGTCGGTCGCGCAGGCGGCGCACCACCTCTGAGCGTGCCAGCTGAGGCGTGCTGGCCGTGTCGTCGGCGGCGCCGGGCCGGCTCTGCGGCTGCGCCTCGGCCGGCGCCGACTCGGCCGACGCCAGCCCGTAACGGCGCCGGTACTCCTCCTCCTCGCGCGCCGCCAGCTCACCGCGGCGGAAGTACTTCCGGCCCGGCTCCTGACCACGAACCAGACGCCATCAGGCTACAGGGTGCACCATGACAGCATTGGAATATAGCAGAGCTGGCTGGTGAGTCTCGAATGCACCTAAATATATTTATCATTGGTACAAAATAGTAAAGAGCACCAATGCTGTAAAATTATTTCAGAAATGGGTGAAGTTCAGTCGCTCTGGCATCACATGAACATGAAGCATTCAAAAGTGATCAGAGCAAAATGTCTTATGCCCCACAGCGCAAAACATCGATTAGATCATACAGCAAATGGCAGCCTGTGCCAGTACATCATCATCCAAATGAAAAGCCCACATTTGAATTAACCCGCAAAACATGTAATGATCAACTTATTCAAAATGTATATAGAATTGCCAATATGCTATGCATCATGCAACATCAAACCCACAGTCAACTTATTTTCAGCCAGCTGTCTCTTCTTCCTTTCAATTTCTGCCTTCAAAATATCCATTCTTCTCCCTGTGATTTCAAGGCACCCTGTAAAAATTATGACCATTAGCTCACTTCTTGATATTGGCATATATTCATGTCAAAAAGATAGCTCTCAACCAAGGGCGTAGGAACATGGAGGGCCACGGGGGCCATGTCCCCCTCCCCCACTTTTCAAGGTGGGGGGCCAGCAATGTTAACTGCCCCCCTTCTCAGATTGAAGCTGCATTTGGCTAACTTTTGCACTATATTAAGCATGCATGCCGATTTACCTAGTTCACCAGCCATCTCTCTTATGATGCGTCATGTTTTTCGTTTGCTCACTGGCCATCGCTTAGTGTTACAGCCGCAAAGCCGACGCCGTACGGCCTGGAAACTGCAACGCCGGGCGTCGAGGCTGTTGTTGCCATGACATACGAGCGCGCATGTTCACGACCATATTACGTAGTTTTCTTATCAGTAATCAGTTCTGACAGGATCTTGATCATTTTAAGACGAACATGGGTTAGCCATGTTAATACCAATTAGGAACCCCATTTCATCTACAATCTACAGCCTGGGAGAGCTCAATATCTCTGAATAACACAGAAACACACGGAACTGGAGTCTATGTGACAATTATCTGACAACCCGCGGTGATCAGGGATGTTGTTGCGTCAATGAGGGTTCCTATGCTGATCCGGGGCTAACTGCGCGGGTCAGATGGCCTTCCGTGTCAGGGATGGGAACAATGTGATATGATATACCCTTCTAATGGCCTCCGGATCGACCAGGAGATCCCGCCCCGTGCCACCAGAATGATAGCCAGAAAACACTTTGCGATGGGACGGAAAGGCCCTTCAGCCCTTGACCGGAAACGGTAATGTACCCCTGATGTTCCGCTCAAGAGGATCCTTGCCCGGAAGAAAATAAGGGGTCTCATCATTGTTGAGTAAATGGGGATCTCATTATTGCTGAATACGCTGGGTCGAAATGAGCTTAAAAACGAGCAAGGTCACGTCATGTTTGTCGCAGGACATTCATTTTTTCAGAATCTATAATTGAAACAAATTACATCAAAAGGCTTGAACATGCCCGCCCGCAACCTCGAGAGCAAGGACAAGGATGGTCTGGGCTGCAACTTTCGTAAAACCGAAAAGTTTCGGCCACTGCAAGTGCCACCAGACGGTGGGTGCCGTGTTAATCTGTCTTCTGGATACATACATAGCTCCAAAAATACGAAAAATGGAGATTCTACCTCTACTCCTCCAGTTCCACCACCAGATTCCTGCCCCACTTCAGGGTGCTTTAAGGGCCAATCCGTTTTTTTTCGCCAAGCTAAAAATTGCACACGTGAAATATGCGCTCAGACTGCCTTTCTAAATGTAAGATCTGATGTCATGAAGCGTTCAGAGATACTTTTTCAGAAGCCTCGTCATTTTCATTCATCCGTTGGCCACAACTTAACGTAAACTGCTAGGCCGACGCTGCGCAGCTACGGAGACTGCAACGCCTGGGGACAGGGCTTGTGTTTTTAAGATTTTCGAGTGCACATGCTCAAAATTACGTCACCTAACTTGTATTTGTAGTCGATTAAAGCGCTTAAAGGTAGTCATTTCCGAAACATCATCATTTTTGTCCCACCGGTGTGCCACAGCTAAATATTAGCTACCGGGATAACGCCCAGCGGACCATGGAGACTGCAACGCCTGGTGTCGAGGTTTTTGTTCCGAAGATTTGCGGGCGCGCATGTTAAAAATCACGTGACATAAATTGTATCACTAATCGATTCCAACTGAATGTTGAACATTTTCAGGCAACCATGGTTTGGCCATGTTAATACACATTGTTGACCACTCGATCTGCGATCAAATTTTCATCTTCAAATTCGGATCACACATATCGATCTACAATCTACCCTCGCGATGTCCTTAATGTCTGTAGAACCCAGATTAACAATTTGACACAGCTTCTGAATTCTAACGGTTTAGGAAGAGTCAGCTAACCATGGTACATTAATAGCGCCGGTGATTTATTCCATGCAGTCGTTCAACGCCTGATTTCTGCAGTTTACTGGCCTCAAAATACAAACAGACTTGAGCTCACGGCAGCTCCTGGTTTATGTTCTGGTTGCAATGTAAAAATAACAACAGAACGAAGAAACCCGTGTCACTTGTTAACAAGTAAGCTACATCCGGATATTTTTTTGAGGGGGGTTCACCAAAAGATGGGCTTTTGTCAACCTTGTGTTCCCCCTTGGCAAGACTATGGCTACGCCCCTGCCTACACACAAAGGCGGGTCAAGTTGTATACGTTGCATGATGGGCAATGAAGTGTCCGTTGGGCCAATTCATACCTAAGACAGACAGCTTCCCGGAGGCTATTTTTCTGCGATGGTGTGATGTGCGGGAATATAATTCGGAAAAAGATACTGATGCAGGTGTCCAACACATGTTTCATACACCATGTAGTAGTAACGCTGATCCGAAAGTAAGCAACAAAGTAGCCACACGATCAGTTCACAGTCAGTCATGCGGGAGACGTCCGGGCCAGGGCATTGGTCAACGACGGCAGACAGGAGAAGGGCCCAGATAACGAACATATGACAGGTGGGCCTTATTATGTGGCTTAATTCTTAAAACAGAGCTTCCGGTTTTATGGCTTTTGTCACGTTGTTTCCATCAGTTTCAAGCTCCCGATCTGTTTCTGCCTAAAACACCACAACAAGTCTTGTCTCTTGAATAGCAGCCAGCCAAATGAGGGCGCATGAAAAATCTGTCGCACTGTCAGCCATCAATCCACTTTTAAAATTCTCACCAGCCTATATCCAGGCCGCATGCCTATCCGTTTGTGGAATTTCGCCTCCCCAGGAAAGACAGTGTTAAAATGGATGGTTAATCCAGGGAATCTGGATAGCCTTATTCACCAAATGACATGAGTTGAATAGGCAACATTGTGCACCAGTGAGAAACAGCTCTAGATGCATATCTAGCATAGCAGTCATGACATTTGAATAAAGAATGATAACAACCTCCACACCTACCCCCCCCCCCCTGGCATCATGCTTGCTTTCCAGAAAAATTTCCTCAAGTACACTCTGAGCTTGGACTCCCAGTTTTTCAAATGTTCCTATGCCTATGCTCTAAACAACAACATTCTCTTTTTGGCAAACATCTTCTTTGATGAGACATGCTTGACTATGCCATTGCATCTTGCAAAACATTTGTTGAGAGCCATTAAATGCTCAAAATTGTGCTCCTGGATACTAAATATCAATGACTCCACCATTATATTTTTAATAGCCTTGATGGCCACATGGCTTACATGATATATGGTAAGATATATGGATATATGGGTATATAGGATATATGGTAGGATTTGAATAGCATTATTATAATGCAGTAAATGCCAAAGTAACATTGAAATACCCTCCACGAAAAAGTATCCCCAGTTTGTTGGGTACCTTGCTCAGAAACTGGAGGGCTTTAAGTCTTTACCAGGGCAGGGTTGAAAACTCCTCCAAAAGGTCTGCAACATGGCTTTTCATTAAAACAAAACATAACTACAGAGCACTGCTCTTAACAGGAATAATCTAAATCACACTATTGGTTGATGGTAGTTAAACTGCATTTCTCGGATGGGTCAACCCAGGTCCAAGTGAAATAGCATGTCACATGGCAAACTACATGAAATCCCAAATTCATGATCAGCCTCGCAATGAGGGAAGTATTAGCATACAGAGTAGAACAACCTTTACAACACTGTGGTATACACTGTAACCACATTCAAATCTGTAAGAAATCCACCTACTGTGACATGACATCCACGACCACTGCTGCCTGAGGGATGTTGCTGCTCTGTAACTTCTACTTTTGTATGCCAAACTCAGGCCTGGCAAATTTACACTAAATCTCTACATTATTTTGCTTGAAATTACCTGTTCAGTATCATGATTCCTTTAAGAATTGGCTCTCTATGCCCTGACATTGATGGAGACCATGCACATTTTTAGAGCTCAGATTTGTGCTGTACACCCCCAAAAAATACTGCAATGATGTCCCTGATATGCCAAAAATGTCATTCTTCAAACAAAAAATGAATTTATTTGCAGTTTAGGCAACAGACAGATGCAATTTGTTGGTGAAAAGCTGCAGAGTAAACTTCAGCAAAAAATATAGTTTTCTATAACATGTCCCACGTAAGCCTCATGACATACCACCCATAAACATGTTTCTGAAAGTCCAAGATAACGATGACCACAGTCTACGATGACCTAGGGTAGCAAACAAGATATTGTCTCCGGAAATACGTCATTCATCCGCGAGTTGTCTGGCTGTCTTGAGTCTCTCGCTTTCCTGTGGCACACGCTGATGACCATCAGCACGACGATGAGAGAAGGAACGTACCTGTCAGGAACCCACTTCCCAAAAATAGGGAAGGACCGAACGACTACTAATTTTGAACAATATCGGACCGCGAGGCAGCTCGGGACGGTGGTCTGTTATCCTTGCTACGAACAATCGTTCAACACCATGGAATGTCGTAATCGCAACAACTGCGCCACGCTCACTTTTGGTATGGATACCATATAATACCTTACCTTACCTTACCTTATGGTGATCGGGCATTGTAAAAGGCCACTAGGCCTGTAGGTCCCGGTCTCGTCAGGCTCCCGGTCCGGTAACCAAACAGTCTCAAATTATGGGAAAATTCAGTGTGGGACGTCGTACATGATGTCAGCCCAAAGCGTATCAAGCCTAGACTTGAAATGCTCAACCGAGGTCGACGACACGACCGGGCGTGGAAGAGCGTTCCAGTCGTTGACGACCCGCGTGCTGAATGGGTTACGACAGACGGGAGTCCTAGCTCGAGGTTTTCTGAGCTTCCATTGGTGTCCTCTCGTCACCTCCGAGTTGTGCCTTGTCAGGAACTTCTCTTCCGACAGCGACATACCTCCGTGAAACAGCTGGTACACTGTTGCCATGTCTCCCTTACGACGACGATAGTACAGAGAGGGCAGCTGGAGGAGTCTGAGTCTCTCAAGGTATGGCTGGCGCCTGACTTCATAGACAAGCCGGATAGCTCGTCGTTGGACCCGTTCCAGCCGCTTCCGGTCCAGTTTACCGAACGGGCTCCAGATAACGTTGCCATACTCTAAGTACGGACGTACTAAGATCTTAAAAAGCAATAGCAGCGTGCGAGTATCGATATTGGCAAAAGACCGCCTCACGACATCCAGCATCTGGTTGGCCATGGAGATCGCTTCCGCCATCTGCACGTGGAACTGGAGCCGGTAATCCATGAAGATCCCGAGGTCCTTCTCGGTGGACTCGACCGCGATTTCGGCGCCGTCCAAGAAGTATGTCAGCCTCGGGTTGCAGTTCCCGATGTGCATTATTTTGCACTTTGCTGCACGTAAGGGCAACAGCCACTCCTTTCACCACTTGGCCAGGGCGTCGAGGTCCGCCTGCGGAGCTGAGTTAGTCAGGGACCTCGGGACACGACAGTGGACATTGGTGTCATCTGCAAACATACTGACCACGCTTCGCACTTGTTCTGGCAGATCGTTCACGAAAATTATCAACGGCGTTGGTCCAAGTACTGACCCTTACGACATGCCGCTGACGACGTTGGTCCATGCCGACTTCGAGCCCTGGACCCGCACTCTCTGCATCCGGTAAGTAAGAAAAGCCCTGATCCAGCGTGGCGAATCACCTCACACACCGTAAACATGAAGCTTGGAGAGCAGACGGTTATACAAAACGGAATCAAAGGCTTTGCTGAAGCCCAGGTGCGCCACGTCCACCGGCTCTCCATCCTCTGCCGCGGCGCTCCAATCCTCCATGACCTCTAACAGCTGGGTGGTACAGAATCATATAGGGGAAACCCATGCTGGGCTGCATGAAGAAGTCCAGACTCCGAGAAGTGATTAAGTAGGGCATCACGGATGAAAGTTCCGAGTATCTTGGAGGGAATGGCAGTAAGGCTCACTGGGCGGTAGCTCGCTGGAGATTGTCGGTTACCCTTTTGAAGATCGGGACTACCTCGCCAAGCTTCCAATCCGGGGGAGCCTTCCGGATGCCAAAGATTTTCGGTAAAGCATGTTAAGGGGTGCTGCCAGAATATCTGCGGACTCGTAAAGAAACCTTGGATGGACATCGTCTGGCCCAGGGGCGCTCGAGGTCTTCAGAGCGGCCAATTTCTTTGCCACTGCCTGGGTGGAGATGGCCGTGTCATCCAGTAACGGTCCAGTAAAGTTGCACGGTAACACGGGCATGGCGCTGGTCCCTTCGTCCCTGAAAATACTGGCGAAGAATTTGCAGAGGACATTGCCCTTCCCTTCATTACTGCTGGTCAACACTCCATCATCGTCAAGAAGGTCTTCTACCCTGCATCTTTTGCGTAGTCTAGGGTTGGCGTACCTCCGAAAGGCCTTGGGGTCTCTTTTGAGATCTGCTACTAATTTAATCTCATACTCTTTCCGAAGGTTTCTAGTCAACTTCCGAAGGTCAATGCGACAATGCACAAAACTGGCATGGTCCAGAACACCCTGAGTCCGCGTATACGTTTGCCATAGTCTTTCCTTAGTCTTCTTTAGCTGCATGGCCCTTGGGTTCATGTATAAGTTCTTCTTAGGTTTAGTCCTCCTCCTGACGGAGCAATCCTCAGTAGCCCTGGCGATTCTTTCCTTGAAGAACTTGTAAGCATCTTCGAGGCTGAGGATCTCCATCAGGTACCAGTCCATTGACCTGAGGGAGTCAGCCAGATGCTCATAATTTGTGCGTTTCAGCTGGCTGGGGCGAGGAGTCGTAGCCCAGAGTAGCAGACCAAAGTGTACCTGATTACCATATGGTCACTGTTACCTAGCCCAGGCAGGTATTTGATTTGGCTCGGCATGCCCTCTTTATTTGTGAAAATGAGGTCCAGAACACTAGGAGCTTCACCGACCCGGTAGCGTGTTAGCTGCTGGACATGCTGGAGTAAGAAACAGCTCTGAATGGTGTCTACCAGTGAGTGGGTTGGGTGACTCTCTGGACCTGACGACCACTCTGCTGCCCAGTCAATCTGAGACAAGTTAAAGTCACCTCCAACCATCAAGTGAGAAAACTGGGCTCTGCATGCTCTCTACAGAAGGTCTTCCAATTGGCCCGCTGTCCTAGACGTTGCGTGATGGACCTCTGTATATGCAGCCAGGTAACAGGGCATCCTTCCCGCTCAAGGCCATCTTCAGCCACACTTGCTCCAGAGGACTTGACCCAAATGAGTGCTCAGCTGCGTTTAGTAAGTAAGACGCAGACAAATATACACAGACTCCTACCACTAGATCCGAGGTTGGGCTGAGATAGATTAAAGGTTGTGTACAGGGTGCACCCGGAAATTGATAAGAGAGATGACGCAATAAGAATTTTCTGGGTTTTGGGAGGGGCGTCTGTCAACATCATGGTGCCTGGCTTATGGTCAGAAATAAACAAACATAAATCATCACTTTTATTAAGGAACTGGTCTACACTAGTGTACAATATCTTCAGACCTTGCCTACCCCTGCACTGACGAGCATTATGTAGCCATTACGGACTGGGGGAACCAGCATCAGCCTGAGCTTGAGTATGCTGATCTATGGATCCATCCCCAGTGACTGAGGTCGCTGTGTCGCTATCACTCCTGTCAGAGCCCCTTATACTTTTTAATATATGATGATACTTTTTGGTAGTTAGACAAAACCAATGAAGAAAAGTTTGAAGCAATTCATGAACGTTGAATACATGAGTATTACTAATTTTGATGTGACAATGAAATTTCAAAATACAATTTCAAACGGAATTTAGTTATTTTGTATCATTTATTGACCTCTGTTCGCATAAATACCAAAACGCAACTTTGTTAGCGGTATATCACTTCAATTGAAAGGCGAACAGCTGACTGCATGTACACCTCAGCACCATGGCGCATCTCGCGTCATATTAGCCGACATTGCTATAAGCTGCTGGTGCGTTGCGGGAGATAAATCTTGAGCGGGGATTAGTGGATGTACGGGCGCCGAGTGTGTTGTATTCGTTTGGAGCCACTCAAAGTCGAATAAGACGGCGATAATTTTAGATATTGTTATACTGTTCAAGGTTTTGCCTAGGCCTGTGTCAGTTCATCGATCCTACCAGGTAGGTGCTGTGTTGAGATACAAATGGGGAAAGATACTTGAGAGAAGTGCGAGCTCTGAAGTGGAAGGCTGCCAGCTGTTCTGCTTTATTGTGTGATGGGAACTATAATTATGGGGTGCCAATTGTTATCAGACAAAAGTAAAGATATTAGGAGGCGATATTGTGCATCACCTCAAGAAGTAATTTGCAATGGCACTACAGCATGAACTTTCATGTTTTGCAAAGTGATGCCCTTAAATGAAGTGGTTGTGGCATACCCAACTCATTGTACTCTAATATGCAACAGGATATATATGTATGCAATCAAAAAATACAAATCCACACATTTATGCAACAGCTTGGCTTCTAGACCACAGGCCAAACAACAGCTTTTGCTTTTGCTCATCCAAACTTGGGCTGCTCTTTCTTGGTCATGATTTATCACTGCAGTCATGACTGTCCTTTATATTGACTGTCCCTGTACCCCAATACTCAATGACTTTTTGAGGCTGTGATCCAGACATGGCTCAAAGCCTGAACCAGCCAGGCATTCATGGACCTAAAAATGTCTGAGGATGCCCTGGAAACTAATGGTCTGACAGGTGGACATGCTGGCTCAAGGCAAGATGATATTCCAAAATAATAATAAATTTGTAGAGGTTTGGCCCTGCCTCAAGCACTCAGCAAAACCTGTGTGATGTTTCCTGATCTCATGCAGCCTTAGCAGGCACAATAATGATTTGGGCCATCTATAGGTGTACAGTATGGCATATTAGTTGGGAGTTTGGCTTTAGCCTCTGATTTTGAACTGATTGTGACCTGGCTTTGGCTGTGCATTTCCATAAGTACAAGATCCCCAACTTCAGCTTTGCATGAACAAAGCTCCAGCCACTGGTGTTGATCTGAGGGCTTTGAAGCAGGGGGAGGGGGTGGCATAGTGGTTTAGGTGCTTGGCTCTGGAGGTGGCAGTCCTGTGTTTGAGCCTGTGCCACACTGCCACTGCATCCCACATGAAGTATGTAATAAAGTCATCCTGTTTTTAAATGGCTCTGGCAGTTTATGGGAAATAAAGCCAGAATCATCATTATTACTGGCTTTGAAGCCAGAAGCCTGGTGTTGTCTCCACCCTTGGTATGCAGGATGATAACTTGCAGTGTGTGCATATGCTTCAGCCTTTTGATGCACACAAGGTCAGTCCAGACCAGCATCATACAGCCACACATTGCTACCAGTTTGTTCGTCTCGGCCCCCAGCAGCTCTAGTGAGCATCGCGTCAGCCTGAGATGAGCCCAAATGTCGACGGCCCGACGCCGGTTTCCGGGGCCTAGCGCCAGTGCGCAGCCGCCGCCCTCCGGCTTTTCGGCCATCT